CAGGGGCCAACATGCAATCCCTTCAGTGTGAGGTAGCTATGCTTGCAGGGGGGCCCTCTATATAGCCTTAGGAATAGTGGTAGGTAGGTAGTGAAAGGTAAAAAAAAAGAGAATTTGAGAGAAGTAGTTAAAAAATAATAAATTTTTTCCGAGGGTCACTTCAGAATTCCTCATAAATTCGAAATAAAAAAGGAAAACAAACTTGCAAGGAGGGGACGCTCTTATTGCCCACCCGTGCAGCCCACACCTGGCCTTCCAAACAAACAAAAATAAACAAAAAATCCAACGAAAACATGCCCCTTGGAAGTCAAAACGGGTTTTCCGGCAGGTCGCCGACCTTTCCAGTGCTCCCAAAGTCCCAAGGTGCTGGACGTCAGGCCCTTTTCGGAGAGGCAGTCGGGCCGTGGATTGTGGCCAGGGCCTTTGAAACTGTCGACCTGGTCCAGTGTGTGGCCGACCGGCTGCATTACATTTTCTTTGACGAAATGAAATGAAAATGAAAAAGAATCTTTGATTTATTATTATTATTATTATTATTTTGAAAACCACAAAAACGACACAGTGGTCACTTTGATGTCCGGAAGGAACGGCTGCGGGTCACACTTCTCAGACAACAAATCGGACTGGGACCCGGTAAGCCATGAAGAACTGGTAGCGCAGTAAAAAATGGACGATTGCGGCCTACCGGTAGAATGAGGTTTTTTGCATCGGGGGAGTGGCAACCCCCCCCTTTAAAACCCTTGTATACTCCCTCTACAAGGCACTCCGCCCATGACAAATTTAGCTACAACGCCCGGGCGTTATATTTGAAGGGGCGTTCTATTTGGAAAAAAAAGATTTTTTTTCCCGCCCCCCCGGGAACAGGCCCTTGTACAATGCCTCTATCCTGGTGGTGGTAAGAGAACCACCGGGATTGAGGCTTTGCCTGGCGGGCCGATCCGTCTATTGGTGGGGAGCATCACCTGCTGGGAACGGGGCCCAGCGTCCCATGAATACATCTGTTCGTACCAGTACATTCTTGAGGGTGACGCCACTTGGCCGGAACCGGGTCCAGCATCCCATAGCTGACCTTTTCCTTCCTACCTAGCCTGCAGCGGCGTCGGGTACGGACGGGAGCCCCACCGGGGGGTACCGGTGGGACCTCCCTCCCCTCCCCTAGCTCCTGCTCCCCTGCTGCTATCCTCATGGCGTCCAGCATCCCATCTACTGAATTTTGACAGAAACGAGAAACAAAATGATCATTATGGGCCTCGCTGCACTACTCTCTTTTTTGCTGGGACCCGGGCCCAGCGTCCCGTGAATACATCAGTTCATAACAGTACAGTCTTGAGGGTGACGCCATTTGGCTTGGAACCGGGTCCAGCGTCCCATATCTGGCCTGTTCCTTCCTACTTAGCCTGCAGCATCGTTGGGTACTGGCGGGAGGCCCACCGGGGGACACCGGTGGGGCCTCCCTCCCTCCCCAAACTCCTGCTCCCCTCCTACTATCCTCATGGCGTCCAGCATCCCATCTGCAGAATTATACAGAAATTTTACAGAATTTTACAGAATTTTACCGAAATTTTACTGAACACTCTCAAGCCGACCAAAAAACCAGACACCCTAGTGCTGGAAACCGGGTCCAGCGTCCCATGTCCCGAGAATAACATCCCTGCCTACCCTGGGCTGCGTCCCATGCCCTGAGTCTAACGTCCTTGCCTACCCAGGGATGCATGGCTGAGAAAACGGGTCGCCTTCCGGTGCCTCTTTTGTATTGGACACTCAGGCCGAGACGGACCGTACAGATCTGTTTATCCCACCTACCCTGCAGTATTTCCATCTGCCGCTGTGTCTCAGCTGTCCGTTAACTAAGCTTAGATTGTAGGGGACAGCCACCTGCCAGCCTTCTGGCGCTCTATATGTTGAGACCTCCGACTACCCATGCTGGAAACCGGGTCCAGCGTCCCATATCAGTGCTGTTCATCTAATCCGACCTACTGTGTATCCATCTGCTGCTGTCCTTCTGCCGACCAAAGGCTGAGCTTGTATTGAAGGGCCTAGAGGAAACAGACAGAGGAGGTAACAGAAGGGATCAGGGGTAGGGGGGGAGCAGGAGTAGGGGGACCACGGACCGCGGGGGCAGCCTCAAGTAGACCGAAGGGGGAGGCAGGGCGAAGGCTCAGACCAGCATACTATGATCATGGGGGGAGGGCCTCTTCCAGTGCCAGTGGGTGGGGGGGGAAGGGGTCTGCAAATTCGTGAGCCGGGCGTAACCTTTCGCCGGGATCGAGGTTTGTCCACTCGTGGAAGATCAGCTGATAATCTCTAGCTATCTCCGTCCGGTGTCCTTCTTGCAGCTCTCCTCCCGGCTGGCGATTCTCTGACCATCTCACCTCCGCCACCCATCCTTTCCTTTCCCCTCCCAACCAATCCTGACTGAAACGGGTTATGATCTTGTTGATGTCAGACCAGGAATTCATTTGGTCCAATTTGTTTTTGGCCGCCTTCCATTGGGCAGTAATTTCATGCTGGACTAACAGGCGTAACGATAGCAGCCACATATAGTCCCTCCAGAGAGCAATGAGCTCCACCCAGCCCCACAGGGAGGGTAGGTGTGCAACAGCAGCCTGGGGTCAGCCCGTAGCAGAGGGACCAAGCATCATCTGCATGGCCAGTGGCTGTGCCTTCCGAATTACCCCTGCCCCCTACGAACAGCAGCAGTGATGCTGCTGATCAGAGGGACAGATGGGCTATCTCTAGGTTGCACGTCCCAAGCATGCCCAGGAAGGTGCATGAGGAGAATCGGAGTCGAACCCATGACCTCCTGAATGCCACTTGTGTGCCTTACCAACTGCTATTTAGTGGAGTACAGCACATTCCTTTTTTTTCTTTTCTTTTTTTGGTCATTACACACTGTCTTGGGTAGCTCAAGTACTGAGGCTCTAGGTACAGATCCCTGGATGTGGGGCATCACAACCTTCTCAAGAGGCTTGAAGTACCCCACACAATAAAGCTCGTTCCGTAAGTGATTCAACTAGGGCTGGGTCCGGCTGCCCAATGCTGGTGCCTGTGACTGTTGCCCATCGAGGCCGTCTGCCAAAAATAGGCGTTAGAGGGGGAAGGGACCATGGCTCTATGAAACCATGAACATGGAGGGCGGTGAGCGTCTTTATAGGGAGCAAGTGGAGAGTAGGCGTGTGTTCTACCTCGAATCACGAATCACGGTAGGCGGGTGGGTTTGCAGGGTCCAGCGGCTGGCATGGCCCTGCTGCGCGAGTGGCAGGGTAGTTCCACAGAAGGTGGAAGGCGGTTGTTCTGAGTGTCAGATGGGGGGAGCAGGAGGTGCGCTAGGAAAAATATTGACCTTCACCCTCCAGCCATCATTTGCTGGCTACTGTCTTCACCTGAGAATAACTCCAGGCTTTACATTCAACTTACTTTGAAAAGATAGTCCCAGTCCCAAGGTTCCAAGTCCTGTGTACCATTAAAAAGATAGTCCCAGTCCCAAGGTTGCAAGTCCTGTGTACCACAAAGACTCAGTCGGATAGGTCGACTCTAGGTCCATAGGTTCAGTAGGTGTTCATACAGCCGAGTGCAGTCCAGTTCCATCAGTTGGTGCAATCCAGACCAGTTCATTCCGCAGCCCAAGTCCCAAGGAAGTCAGTGAACATTCTGGATGCCTCCAAGGCCTACCGCGGCCAGCAAGTCTGAATCAGCGAACTGAAGCGTCGCATACAAAAGTCCACTGGTCAGTGGGCGTCAACATCTTTCCAATGGTGTGTGCAGCAGAAGCGCTGCTGAGGTCTTCAAGTTGTGGGGCCAGACTTTGAGTGAGGCTGGAGTGAGGAAGTAGAGCTAGTTGTAGTCGACCGGTGCTGGGCACAATAGCTGTAGTGAGTGCAAGAGAGAGAGTGCAGTCTGAAGAGAGAGAGAGAGAGAGAGAGAGAGAGAGAGAGAGAGAGAGAGAGAGAGAGAGAGAGAGAGAGAGAGAGAGAGAGAGAGAGAGGAGGCGAGTTCGTTCTTGGTTGGGCTGCTGGTGGGTATAGCCGGCCAGCTTGTATAAGCAAAATTGTTGTATAAGCAAAATTGTTGTATAAGCAAAATTGTTGTACAATACCAATTTTCGAGCAGTTTTTGGAGTTCATTGCATAGAGCTGTTTATAAACATGTGTGGGGGCGCATTAACAATGCCTTTTCAGCAAAACAAATGACTGGCTGAAGAACTGTTTACGGGTATGTATGAGTTTTTTTTTGTTTCTTCATATACCTGGGCTTACTTACAATGCCTTCTGTGTGCTGTGAGATACTGTTGCCTTGTGAGCTCCTTCCAAGAACTATTTATGTACACGAGGGGGCCAATAAACAATGCCTTTTGAGCAAAACAAATGAATAGTTTATGGGTATCTATGAGGGGTGTTTTGTTTACAGGTATTTATGAGGGGTCTTTTGCTTTATGGATATCTATGAGGGGTCTTTTGTTTATGGGTATCTAGGAGGGGTCTTTTGTTTACGGTTACCTATGAGGGGTCTTTTGTTTACGGGTATCTTTTTTATGAGGGGTCTTTTGTTTTTCATATCTGGACTTATTGACCATGCCCTCTGAGCACAATCAATGATTGGCCTAATGAAGCAATGCCAGGAACTTTTATTACAAATAGGAAACCCTCCCAGAATCAGCAAAGAGCTCTATTTGAAGTTCGTTCACAGTGGTTGCGTTGGGGTTTGAACCCACGCACAGATTTTGAAATACGCAATTGCCCGATGAGATAACCGCAAAGAGCTCTATACCCATATATCAGGTTGACTCCAGTACATCCGGGCAAACTAGAATGCACTGGGCTCCCTACATGCCCAGGTGCACTCTTACAGGGGCATCTGGCAATTATAAAGAAAAAAGGGAGTCAGTGCAGGTAACTCTCCCAAAGATGTATACCTCCAGAGAAAAGAGGAATGACTTTTTGGCAGATAACTTGTTCGGTTTTGACAATTTTCTGAATGTGTTTTTGAACTTGGCTTTGCAGAAAACAAATCCTATTGTTGCGGAAATCTTCACTCTTATGTCCAGGGATGAGGCTCGCCATGCCGGGTAATGCCCTCTCTCTAAACCTTCCAGTTATCCCTGCTCCTCCTGCTTCCCTCCTCTTCTCTCTCTCTCTCTCTCTCTCTCTCTCTCTCTCTCTCTCTCTCTCTCTCTCTCTCTCTCTCTCTCTGTGTGTGTGTATATCGAGCTGCCCGGCAAACCGTAGGCAGAGAGGGAGAAGAGGACAAGAAATGAAAATATATAACAGTTTGCTGTCCTGATCATACTACCAGATCTACCCGGTGTTGACCTAGTAGCAGCCCCCAGTTAGCTACTGGATTGCCTTCCAGCCTCGGTGAACCCCCAAATCTCTCTACCAGGCCTCACGCTCCTGCAAGACCAGGTTACAGGGGTACGCCCCAGCACCGGCCAGCGCCGCTCTGGCATCAGCCAACCAGGAACCCTAATTATCGCAGCTTCATGTGGCATTGGATGAGCAAAAAACGCCACTGGAATCTGGTACGCAATTTCTGCAGACATTCGAAGATGCTAATGATTTGCAGAAGAATAGATACATGTTTTAGACGATTGCAGAAAATAGAAGAAAGTTCCTCCCCGCCTCCCCCCCACCAAATCAGGCATGCCTCTGTCGACCCCTTGCCCTTATCTGCCCCCGCTGGGATATGATATCCAGACATCTCCCCCAGTCGCAGAACACAGAGCAAACGCCCAAATCCGCTCCCACCCCGTCCAGGACATACACTTAACCACCTTGTGATGCCCCTGCAGAGTTGAGCTCTCCTCCCCAAGCCCATCTACGGGACTGCAATAAATAATTACCTTAAACAGGTAAAGCACAAAAATGAGAATCAGCATTTAGTAACAAATATATCTATATTGTGACGATATATATATATATATATATATATATATATATATATATATATATATATATATATATATATATATGAGTCGGTGAAACTCCNATATATATGAGTCGGTGAAACTCCGACGAAACAGTTTGTCACAGCCCCTCGTTTGTTGTCCTCTTCTCTCTCTCTGCCTACGGTTTACCGGGCAGTTCTGTTTGTGACGATATATATATATATATATATCGTCACAAATATATATATATATATATTGACGATATATATATATTTTAAATGATTGAGAAAGTCAGGAATTGGATTTCCAAACTTACGAAATTAGTAAGTGAGGAAATAACTTAGAGATATGGAATTGAAAATACTTAAATGGGAAAACTTTCCAAATTTTTTTAGTGAGAACAAAAGTTGAGAATAAGGAAATTTAGATTGTATAGATAGAAAATTTAGAAGGCAGAGATCCCAGCCAGCAGATGTACAAGATCCATCACAGGCCGTGTAATCTGGAATAGCTAATTGCATGACTGCATCTTCCATAGCTTCTATAGTATCTATAGTATCTATAGTATCTATCGTATTCTATACCTTTCTTGCTCTTCATGATTGATCTGGAAGGTTCAGGCGGTGGACCTGAGAGGAAAGTTGGACGTAAGGCAAGCTGACAGTCGGAATCCTCCACGATGCTGGAGTAATCAATGGTGGTTGGTGTTCCTTCGGCCAGACGGAAGGAAGCGTGAGTGTGTTTCGTGATGTAATATTTTATTTGAAAAAAAAAAAAGAAAGCAAGGCAGATGTGGAACACAATTAAAAAAAAAAAAAAAAAAAAAAAAAAAAGAAAAAAAAAAGAAAAAGAAAGATCCTTTATAAGGTATGTTTCCGTTTACCGAGTCTTTTTGCAGCATCGTCACAATGTGTTGGTTCTGGCAAATGGCTCTATCCAGCCCCATGACCCCCATCTTGTGCCTTTCGAGGTATAAACGTCGATGGGTTCCCTCCGAGTTTGCTATCCATGATGCGTCGCAAAATAGCGGTTGCCTCATTACTACTTTGTTGCTCGGTTTCCTTACATTTGCTGGGAGGGAAGATTTCCTTCGAGACTTTGTACTGCTCCTCTGCCAGAAGGTGAGAGCCTTGTGTTCCCTCTGCTCGTTGTCCGATCAGCCTTCCGGCCCCTCATGGCCCATGATTTGCTCGTCACCAAAAATGGCCCCAAATATATTGGTAGGGGACTCGAACACTCCATAAGCTCTATGAAGCCTTCTCCAGCTAGTGAGTTTCGTGGTAGTCCCTGGCTGGTCGTGTAATCTGTGGTGTTGCCATTCTCTACTGCAACCACCGGAGACTTTTTCCTGTCAAAATGTCTCAGGTGACGTTTTTTTTGGATCAACCAATGGAGCCATTCCTTCTTCTTTTTTTTTGTTTTTTTTCCATTCGTTTTTGCAATGTTAGCAGCGACTGAATGTCAGCCTGGAGGGGGGACGAAAAAAACGAAGACCGGAAAAAAAAGTCACCCCTGCAATTTTCAACTGCCCGCCTCGTCAAGCATTCCTTCTCCCAACTGAGCTACCGTCTTCCCCTGAATACAACGCACGGTCACTATAGCTGTATGTAGACTGAAAGATGCCCCAAATACAGCTATAATGACGGTACGTTGTATTCGGGGGAAGAAGGTACGCCTGTTGAAATACAGACCTCGGTTCGAACTCCTCTGGAAGCAGACGACTTAGACGAGTAAAACATTACTTCAATTCTGAATTACCTACATTAGGGCCGGTCAGCTCGATGTTGATAAAATATCTCAACTCAGGGCGGGCGCCATTTTACAAAACAGAAAAGCATTCCTTCTCCCTTCGATAATCGAGAATTACATGGAGATCTGGAGTTCCAAGATTTCAACCCAAAAAAGAAATCATTGGATGCAATGATCAGGAAATCTCAGCCATGGGAAGGGGTCTGTCTGTAGCTCGGGTGATGTTCGAGCTTGAGCTTGATGATGTAGTTACGCTGTTATAAGTAAAACCTCTAGCCACACTCGTTTCAAGTTCTCTTTCTCCCATGCGAAGAGGCAATAGCATGCAAGTCTCTCTCCGAGTTTCAGATCCGCCCACAGACAGACAGATAGTATATACTATACACACAATGCCGAGAGAGTGTCCTTATGCCGAGAGAGTTTCCTGATGCGTGTATGGCAAATGCACAAAAGTACCAACGAGGCAAACGCCAGCAGCTACGACCATTACCATGACGCTCCGTTGGCCCGGAATAGTACTGCGATGGGTGACCTCATGGGACTTCTCGGTGCGGTGCCTTGGCGCAAGGTAAACCCCAGCGCACTCGTCCAGAAAACTCGGAGGAAAAACACAACAACGATAACAAGACACACTGAGCAAACACAGACCAGCAGGAGAAAGTACAGAAAGAAAACGCACCAAAGATAACAAGAGACAGGGCCGACAGACCATGAGCAAAAGTTAAGACGCAAAGACACAAAAACACAGAAAGAAAAACACAAACCTCCCGTAGGTAAAAATAGTGTGCAACCCATAATCAATAGAAAATAGCTTGCTTCCCTCTGGCATATCGAGTTCCGGATCAGTAAATAAGCTCGGCTGTGATGTGGGTTTGTGGTCGGACTAGTGCAAAGACAAGGTAAATCTCGACACTAGATATGTGAGAGGCAGCTAGTGTGAGGTTAATACAAGATTGAGAGAAGAAAACAGGGTAGTACAACAACAACAACAACAACAACAACAACAACAACAACAACAACAACAACAACAACAACAACAACAACAAAAAAAAAAAAAAAAAAAAAAAAAACCCAGCAAAGATAAGTTAGATAACAAAGCAGTGAGCGAACACCGAAGAAAACCCACGAGAATCACTGCAAGGAGATTGGCTGAAAGTTTGTTTTGTGTTTGCCTGCCCTGCCCTGCCCTGACCTGACCTGACCTGATATGCAGTTTTCTGAGCAAAGTTCAACGAACATGGCACTGGACTTTGGCTGACAAGTTTTTTTTTTTTTTTTTGTGTGTGTGTGTGTTTGACTGCCCTGCCCTGCCCTGTCCTGCCCTGACCTGATGCACAGATTTCTGAACAGAGTCAATGCCGACTTCAACACGGCAGTGGATTTTGGCTGACAAGTTTGCTTTTTTTTTTGTGTTCGACTGCCCTGCCCTGCCCTGCCGTGCCCTGGGCTGACGTGATGCGCAGATTTCTGAACAAAGCGATGGCAGACTTCAACATGGCACTGGACCTGGGTTTCTTGACAAAGACGAGAAAGTACACCTTCTTCAAGCCAAAGTACATTTTATACACTACCTATCTGTCGGAGAAGATTGGGTACTGGAGATACATCACCATTAACCGTCACCTCCAGGACAAACCTGAGCACATCATCTTCCCCATCTTCAAGTACTTCTTCAACTGGTGTCAGGACGAGAACAGACATGGTGATTTCTGCAGCGCCCTTCTGAAGTGCCATCCCCAAGTCGTCAAGGATTGGCAAGCCAAGCTCTGGTGCCGCTTCTTCTGCCTTTCGGTAGGTTCATGTCCCTCCCTTTGCCTTCCACCCCCCGCTCTCCCCCTCTTCTTCTCTTTCCCTCTCTCCCATCCTTTTTTTCTTTTTTTCTTTTCTTTTAAACTGTCGCCACATTCACCATGCAACACCGCATTCCACGAGATCGTAGGAGCAACCCTGGGGACAAGGCTTAGCAGGACAAGACGACGCCTTGCTGTTGGTGGGGGTCGCCACTTGCTGGAAACCTCATCCAGCATCTTAAATCAATAAGCTGCTTCGGGACATCCGTTAAAATTGGAATGATACAGAGAACAAAGATTTGCTTGGCCCCTGTGTAAGTAAAGATGACACGCATAAATCGAGAACAGTTCGATTTGAAACATTTGAAATTTTGAATCAACAGCAGGACACACTTGGACACTGACAGCACTTATCAGTTGTGTGAACTCCGCTACTGGTAGGTAGATTACAAATTCCTGAATGAAGGGGCCTGTAAATGCGGTCAGATACTGAACTGGTGATTGTAGGAATTCCTGAATGAATGGGGCCTGTAAATGCAGCGAGATACTTCACTGGTGACTGTTTTCACAAGTATCCGTTCTTCAGTTATGATCCTGGCCAATTTCGAAGTACACATTCATCAGAAGTACAATGCCTTCCAATTTCAAAAAGAAATGAATGAACTTGAGAGGAGAGAGAGGGAACGAAGAAGAAGAAGAAGAAGAAGAAGAAGAAGAACATGAAACAAAGAAGAAGAAGATGGAATAAAGAAGAAGAAAATGGAACAAAGAAGAAGAAGAAGATGTACACCAACAAAGACCAATGAGAATTCCCTTCTCCTTCACCAACCACTCCTTATCTCCTCCCCTCTTTTTTTTTCCTTAGAAAAAAAAAAAAAAAAACAGAACCTTGTGGTTCTGGCTCCTTTCCATTCTGGGGAGCTTCAGTCCAGTTCCTATTCCACGGGCAAGTCATAAAAGCCTTGCAATGGATACTCACACACGCTCCTCCCCATTATGGTTGAGAGGCCCGAGGGGCAGCATTGATTACTTCCCTGGGGGAGGATGTACCCTCCCCCCCCCTCACCCCTGCCTAAGCTAGCCAGCATAACTTAATTTTGGAACTGATCGCTAGACCAGCTTACATTGCCTCCCTTACTCTTTTCCGTCTGTCTACGAAAGCCCAACCCCGCTTTTTCCTCTCAGCTACTTGGCATGTCAGCTCTTCTGGACATAAAGCACAAAGTTCCTGGAGCGTTGAACGCAACCGAGGATTCCTTCTTTTGTAAAAAGCCACGCGCTGACTGGTTGGTCTCGGTGAGCGAGCACCAGCCATCATTGGAAGCTTCTGATTTTAACCAAAGTGATGGTAATAATTCTACTCCAACTTCTCCAAGAGCAAGAGGTAATAAGAGTGCGATTTGGTGCGTGGGCGACTGAGGCGGGTTTCCCATCTATGGTTGAGAATTCGAGTTATTGGGAAGGATTGCATTGTGAGTGTATATTCTACCTTCGTAAGATATTCCAGGATATTGGTCCGTTTGAACCGTTTCAGACGGCGTTTCTGTATTATTTTTTTTTTCTTCTTTTTTTCTTTTACTTTATTCTTTTTTCTTCTTCTTCTTCTTTTTTTTTTACTTAATTTCTTAGTCTGCCCATTCTCCGTCTCCATGCCAATTCTGCTGGGTCAAATTCTCGATCCGCTATACTTATTGATGGGTTATAACTTATAAATACGTCTTTCATCCATTTCCACTACCCTTATTTTCCTTACGGAGTGGTCGGTCAGGGCTCTCTCTCCTGCTGGATTCTGGTTTAGAAGGACTTGTGGTTGCCCCTGGATCTTAAATTGGGTTCATGTAGAAAATCAACGAGGAGTCTGCTGGTCCCTCCTCCTTTCGGAACTGATAGGCTGTAGTGGGAGGATTCTCCGTCATGCTCGTAGCCCAGTCTCCTGGCTTCCAATTGCTGGGTCCTTGGAGTAAATGTAGCCAACACTCTGGGATTGAGGCAAGGATGTTCTTTAGATTCTCCTGCAGGTTGTGGCAGCCTTTTAGACACTCCCTCAGTTCACCCACCGTCTTCCATCTCCCTTCTGTGTCCTGCCAGAGGTGTTTGATCTGCCATACTCCTTTTTCTACCAACGAGCCCCATTTGGTGTCCTTGGCGGTCGAGATCCGGGGCTTCCCTTGCATGTCCAGTAGAGATTGGTTGCAGAAGAGCGGTTGTCTGAGGACCTCTTCTTTGGTTGATGGTTCTCTTACCTTGGCTGGTAGGATCTCCCTCCATATTTTCATTAGTTTTCGCCAGAAGTCATACTCTTGTTCCTCTCTCTCTCTCTCTCTCTCTCTCTCTCTCTCTCTCTCTCTCTCTCTCTCTCTCTCTCTCTCTCTCTCTCTCTCTCTC